AAGGATAGTTGGGACCTTCTTCATAAAACAAGGTTTCATTTGTGTAAATCGTGGGGATAAACCCGACCTTCAGAGCGCTGGATAGCAAACTGCCGGATGGAAGTCTGAAGAAAACGTCCATCATTGATGTTCCTTTTTCAAAGGCTCTATAGATATATATGACTGGGTGGTTGCTGACTGTTTTGACTTGGGAGACCACGCACCCATAAATTTTAAAGTAGTCAAGCACTCTAGCGAAAAGCGATCTGAGCCTGCCAGGGGACCGCTAGACAACTACAACTTCCATCGATGTGATTGGGATCTGTTCAGAGATGAGCTGAACAAGAAGCGAGAGCAGATCTCAGAAAATGGTATTAGATCCGATCGAGAGTTGTATCAGAGGGAATGCACGCTGATCAAAAATCTGCAGTCAGCCGCGAGAAGTGCGACTCCGCTAAGAATGGCGGAGGGGTCCGGGGGTAAAGGGATATGGTTTGACAATGAGCTGCGGAAAATGCGCAGTGCATTGAAGCGGGCAGAGAGGAAGAGGGAAGGCTCTGAGCGCAGGAGGATAAGGAGTGAATATAGGAGACTCCTCCGAGAGAAAAAAGAGGCGAGTCTTACAAGGTATTTGGAGGACCTGGGAAGAGGACCACTATCACGCCTCTTCGAAGCCATACGACCATCTACATCTCGCTCTCAGCCTAGACTTCTGGAAAACGACTTGTCAATTAGAGACACTGCTGAGCGAATCGCAAACCACTATATAGGCAGCGTGAATGTGGAAGGAAATCACAATAACGAATCGAGCATAAGCGATGGGGAGGGAATACCATTTGAGGTGTCGAAGAAGGAGATCGAAGAGCTGATAAAGAGCCGGAGTTCGCGTTTCTCGGCCGCTCCTGGCATGGATGGTCTGCGACTTAGACACTGGCATGAGAGCCCTGGATGGGTGAAGCGGGAGCTTGGAAGAATAATAGGATACAGTGTAGCAAATGGAGTCCTGCCGTCGACATGGAAACACTCGAAAGTCATATTGCTAGACAAACCAAATCGCGATAGGAAAAGTGTCAAATCACTGCGCCCTATTTCCCTTTGTCCATCAATCTCCAAAATTGCCGAGTCGTACGTGCGGAAAGACTTGAGAGAAAGTATGTATTCGTTGAGCTTCGCTGGGCGTCAACACGCATACATTGAAGGTAAAAGCTCTCTGGAGGTTGTTGGATCGAGTGTCAAATGGATCGCTTCGCGAAGAAGATGGGCCATCTTGTCTCTCGACTTCTCGAATGCGTTTGGGGAAATAGGCCACGACTCAATTATGTCCAGCTTGGAGAAACTCCGGGTAGCGGACAGGACTCGAAAATGGATACATAGATGGCTCTCTCAGCGCACAGCCGAAGTGCATTATGGCTCGGAGGTGGTAACTCGCGAGTGTTTTCCTGGGAAAGGAACACCACAAGGCGCACTATTATCGCCTTGGATCTTTGTCTTGGGCACTGAATCAATAGGAGAGGCAACAGAAAAGTATGTCAGGACCTTGTCAGGAGTCGAGGATTGCTCCTGGAAAGCATTTGCGGATGATTCGTACCTCTACATATCGTGGAAGGCAGATGTAGGAGACGAGCTAATGCGCAAGTCTATAGACGATGCCATTGTGTTCATTGCAAGGGAGGCCGCTGAAGCCAAGTTGATATTGGAGCCTGCGAAGACATCTATCTTGACAAACCAAAGGGAAGCGTTTAAGGATGTCAATGGCTATACCGATGCGCTGAAGCAACTCGGTGTCACACTAACTCCTAGTCTGGACTTCAAAGCTCATGTCGAACGGAGGATAGCATTAGCCGAGCAAGTAACCAACATGACAGTAAGGCACTTGAAACTTAGTCTAGGTAGGAAGTTTGGTGTATCCGCTCGGTGTCTTCTGGAGATTTACAACAAAGTAATTGTTACAATTGTACAGTACCCATAATACTGTATGGACATGAAGTATGGGGTGCTCGAATCGCGAGCAAGACATATAGGCAACTGTTCGATAGGGCAGGAAATGACTTTCTCAGGAAGATGCTGCGTGTTCGTCAGAGTACACCGGTCGGAATTCTGTATCTCAGCTCGGGCGCCACTCCTCTATCGGAACTTGTGATGAACAAAGTTGTAATGGCTCATTATCATCGAGAAGCCGTAACAAACTTCCTAACACCCCGGGCAGTTAAGAAGCGCGATAAGTTCGAAGATATGCTTAGAGACCGAGGGTTTCCCAACTCATACAGAGGAGAGAAGCTTATCTCACTGGGATTGATAAATCCTCTTGAAGGGAGCCAGCAGTCTAGCTCTGTGGTCGAAATATCAGGCTCTCGAGAGTGTTCGGCTGCAAGTGTTAACAGGTTGATATCCTCCGTCGCATTGGCCAACGACGAGATGGTTATCTTTACGGATGCATCGAAGGTGGACAAGAAGGATTACCAGTCAGCGAGCGCCGCTTTCGTTGTGTATGGGGAGAGCGGGATAAGTGATTGTCAGAACTTATTAGGAACATATCGATTCAAATTGCGAGATGAGTGTAGTGCCCTGCAAGCTGAACAAGCAGGGATCTGCCTTGCACTACGTTATTTCCGTCGAACTGTGAAAGCTCAGAGCTCGCCGTATCGGACTTTGCATATTGTGAGCGACTCAAAAGAAGCTTTACGTGCGCTATTGAGAAACAAAATGAATGAGATAAGTCGAGAATGCATTAACATCTGTCTTAGCCTGAGAAATCTTGGTCGCTGTGTGACGTTTCATTGGTGTGGGGGATCAACTAGCTTTCCGGGAATCCAGCTAGCAGATCTCGAGGCAAGGAAAGGCAACATTGATGGAGCGCCTCCCAAGCTGGAGATCATGTCGCCAATCCAGGAGACTCGCCGCAAACTTGAACGAGCCATGGAAGGAGTAGTCATGCAAATGGTAGGACGTCTTTCGGCAACGCTTCGCCAGCCTTCGCTAGCGAACGCCAGCGGAAGATTGTGCAGGATGTTGTACTCGCAGGTAACTGTGGATTTTTTCTTCAAGTGCTATCAGGACACTCTGAGATTTTGAAAGGGTACACCTACATGTCTGGAAGGGAAAACTGGACAAACATAGACAGAGAATGCACTAA